ATGACAACTCAGCGGCATTTTTGGCATTGCGGCGACGTCTCCTTTGGCGCAAAAATCGTTCATAACTTCTTTTAGAGAAACGATTAGCAGAAACGGAAGTCAGATTCGGAATCAGCGCTCCAAGTTGAGTGTAATGGTATACATCTCATCTCAAAAGGTCACGGACACCAAGTATCGTTTCCTTGTGAGCAATCTCATTCCGTTGGATAACAAAGAAAATAAGCTAATAACGCAATGAAAATAAGAGTATAAATACAGTGCAAGAAGGAACTGGTGCTTTGAGTTTATTTTTTAGATGGCAGTTAAGGGAAGGTCAAATGCCGAACAAAAGACGATGAAAATCATAGTAAAAGGCAGCTGCTCTGTTGCAAGTTATGCTGTTTTTGCAAAAAATATGCAACCTCATAACGGGAGTAAGTAGTATTATCCTACATTAATTTCAATACAAAATGCATTAGTTTAATAGCTATTTTCTTGAAGAAATAAAATTCATTACTCGTCTGCTACAAAGTTATAAAAAATACGTCATGACTTGAAAAAAGATGTTTTTGCCATTTCTCGTGCACTGAAGGGAATGGATTGAACTTTGGGCAAGCTTCCTAAAGATATTTTTTTAATACAATGTTCTCTCTTGTGCTGTTGCTGCAACGAACTGTTTGAAAATCCATGACCTTGCAAACAAAAGCATACAACTATGATGCTAATGTAGGTGATATAAACTCGGATTACCATAAAATAGGTCAAATTCTGAAGTAGTAGCAGGACACTTTTGGAGCTAAACTCTTTTGCCAGTGTATGATAGGTGAAGTTGTATGATACTGTAAGTTATTTACTAAATTTGCATTTTGAATTATAATTTTCGCTTCCCACATTGACGCATAACAAAACAAGGTTGTACTTTCGGCCGTCAGTTCTAAAAAAAGGTCCAGTTAATGGAATGAGTACGTGTCTGCAAATAGCGTATCAAACTTCCATATTCAACTACAAAAGACTTCGAAGTTCTTAAATTGTGGTAAGCTGGAAAGGCTATACTGTTTTGCTGGGGGACAGAAACAGGAGAATGGCGACTGAATTCACCCACGCCGCTTAGGGTCTCACCACCGCTAGTACTGGTTTTTAATAGAAAGTGAAGCAAATAAGGTTTGCGGCTTAGCACACTACACTGGAACGCTGCACTATTTTGTAGCTGTTGTTCGATTTGCTATTGTTCGTCTGCGTAAATGTAGCTGAAAAGGTTTACATTGTTGTCTTGAAAGTAACCAAGTTCCCCAATCTAATATTCTTGGATCTTGGCAAAACTCCTAAAAACTCACCCTAAAACAGAATTGCAAACTCGCGATGCGCCACGTGCAACACAGGCCTAACAAGGGAAGGATAGTTGGATGCCGCGGCCATTCCTAATGATTTGTATACCAAAAAATGCGCCTTCGAATGCAAATTCTGAATCTGTGCTCGAAATCTGCGAAACGATCTTTTGAAGAAAGTTATGAACTTTTTTCCTTAAAAATTTAGCCTACTTTTGCATAGTAAAAATCACCAGATTTGATCTAGCTTACCTTTTGATGCTACTGAAGGAAATTTTAGACATAGTAATACCCTAATTTCCGGGGTATAAGGCGCACCTTGTATAAGGCGCACCCGCCGCAGCGAACAATAGCGCGAAAACGCTTTCTAATGATTGCTTTCTAAATCTAGAAAGCTGAAGATTTAGTGTGCTATGGTTATTCTCAATGTCTATGAATCATGATGCCTTCAGGTATTTTTTCTACTCTTCTCAGAATATATACTTTAATATTGTTTTTACAGGTTGGAAGAAGGTGTTCTCAATGGTGTTTATGATGTTCTTTTGTTCCCAATGGTGTTAGCGCTGCCACATTTGTGCTTTCCTTCGTTTCCAATAGTGCTACTGTTACTGAAACTCTGCTTTCCTTTAGAATGATGCTACTGTATTTTGAAGGTGCTTTTCTTGTTTTATTTTTGTCATTCTTAAAGAACAAAGAGAAGGTAGAGATTTGTGTAAAACAGATCACTATTGAGAGGAAAACAGCGAAGAACGGGAGCAAAAAGCTACTGAAGAGGTTGCTCTGGGCTGCTCGTGCGGCGCCGCGCTTCGCGAGCGTCATCATACATCAGTCGCACGCGGTGAAAGCTACTGCGCCTTATACCCCGGAAATTAGGGTATTTATTTAGACTATCTGGATCATACTCAGCATTTGGAAAGGAGACAAAATTTTTTTATTGATGATTTTGACCCTCCGCAGGAACGCAATTTTTTTTAATGAAAAAAAAAATCATAACTCCATTCAGATTATCGTTTCGCAGATATGAAAGACAGTCTACGAACCAGAATTCAAAGCGCATTTTTTGGTATACAAATCATTATGAATGGCTACGGCATCCAAGTATCCTTCCCCTGTAAGAAGTATCAGTATAATACATAAAATTTGCGCTCAGGAACTGAATGTACTCACACTACAATGTTGGAGTCAGACTTGTATTGATGTTTAATGTTACGGAACTGATAATGCCGGATGCGGTGCAGGAGGGACCAAAGGCCTGCCGCCTATAGCCGTAGGATATAATTAGAGGCGCGAGCGCGGTGGAGAAGATTTTGGCGAGGATCCGGGAAAACTTGGCGAGGACATCTATTAGGAACAAACCCTTATAAATCTTATTGGAATCAACTTTCAAGGATACAAAGGACAGGTTTGGAATTAGTAAAATGCGCATTTTTCAGTAAACCTTACCGAATAAATAAACAACTCGTCTCTCTACTCTAATCCTACTTTTACAAAAAGAGCCTTCAAAATACCATTAAAAGCTGACGAACTTCAAGATCAATATTGTGTGAGAAATTATAAGTGAATTTTTTAGTAAAAATTCTGAACTCGAAGTTGAAAGTAGGGAGTGGTCTTCAGGAAATAATGTTAACTTACTCGCATGTGATGACCTTTTGCTATTGTATACACTCCAAAGGACTACAGAATAGCCTCAATAGCGGATCCTATAGAATTGCTAGTGAGAATTAGGATTGGTTTGAAGTTATGAGACTAACTTCATACTGCATCCAAGCCTCCGGATGTGTTTTTGTGACATTTTGATTGTTTTGGTTCATTGACTCAAAAGGTAAACTATTCCTTTATCTCAAAGAAAAATGAATGACTAAATGAAAATCCTGGTATTCAACAATTTGAAACCAAAACTCATAAAACAAAAAGTTTCTGTCAGGAAGTTAACTTTTCTTACCACTACAACTCCCAATTTTCACTTGCTTTCAGCCGAATGAATGCCTTCCAATTTGCGATACAAAGCTGTTTTTCAGATTTTTCAAAGTCATCTCCAGGCAAAGTTATGAAAATTTGTTCCTAAAGGATACCCTTGCAAAGTTTTCTGGGATCCTTGCCAAAATATTCTTTACAGTGCTCGCACTCTTAAACATCTGCGGGTACAGGCGGCAGCCCTTTGGTTCCTCCTGCACCACCCCCTGATAATACCTACTTTTAGGATGTTGATCGGAAAAGATACTCTTGGCGGAGAGTCATAATGTGAAAAACAATGACAATTTTTCACCGTGTTGTATATGGGCAGCGACCATGGAGGAGGTTAGCAATCACACGATAGATGAGGGAACGTTTGTAAGAAATGTTTACATTGTTCGAATATTCAACGGTAAGGCGTTTTTGATCTTCCTTCCTTTTGCAAAGCTCGAAATCAATAAGTTTTTCAGGCACATCGGTCATTTTCTCTCATGCAGAACATCCATTTTATTTCGTGATCGTAAACTTTTGGTATCTGAGCCTCGGTTTTTTTTCTATCTACAGCATACGAATTTACATTGCGCTTTACGGATGAAGATGTTTATCGTAGGGGACTATTCAGGCTGATATCGTAAAACATTATGGAAGTCTAAATTAACTCAGTTTATATTTTCACCTTAAATAATCAACTCCACCTGCTCATCCGCAATGTTTCGATTCTTTAGCGGCTTTACAGGCTTCCGCTGACCTTCACCCTCTGCCGTTATTTCTAGCGAAAAGCTCACAAAACTTTAGAGGATTGCGTAAAGGAAGCACATTCATTGATTTGTAAAATAAACAAGATAAAAGAGCTTTTTCTGATCTATAATGGAATATTCCAACATACCTCGCGGCTGGGATTAGACTTATTGTTTTCTTTAAACGTCTGCCTTGCAAACATCTTGATAGAAATGGTATGGGTTGTAAACGAAACCGGCTTCTCTCTCTTCACTAAGGCTTAATTGCGATGCAACTTATGGTGTAGTGGGAAGCTCGCATCCTTCGTTGCAAATACCTTTCTGCACATAAAAAAGGAAAGTGAAAAAGTTTAGCTTGGTAAGGTGAACTGCTCTGAGAACTAATGTCTACTGCAGAGCGACAACTTTGACGACTCTATCACATGCATGTCGAGATGACGTGATTTTCCCCTTAAAATCTGGCCACATATTAATAACGTCACTTCGTCTCATTTATGGACACCTTGTTTGCATCTTCATACTCTTCATGACCACACATCTGTTGATTTGCTCTTGAAAGAGCTTGCGCAAGCAGTATTGCAGCGCGGCTTGTCAGTCACCAAGAAGAAAATTGCTATTGTTAGCACTTACTTTCTCAAAAAATGCTGACAAATCTCATCCTCACGAATAAAAAAGATAAGTGTAATTCATTTAAGAGTCAGTTATTATTATATTCAGCTTACACCCTCACATCCAAAGCTTTCATAACAAAAGCGCAGACTCAGTTATTGTGGATAAGTGCAAGAGTACCCACAGAGAAGTGCACCTTCCGAAAAGGAACGTTTCATTTAGAATTCATCGAAGTCGAAAAAGTAAAGGCTAATAAATTAAACGCATGTTTGGATGAATGTCAACAATCAGTTGGCCAACAAAAAAGTATTGTGTACTTGAGAATTTGTATTGTAGCAGTACATTGTACGAGTCGTAACAATGCTATAAAAGCTTTCGTAAATGATCAGCTGTGAGCATGTTTAGACTTTGTGCCCTTTTTGCGGTAAGTTCATTTTTGAATAAGCTTGGCCTTTTTATGCTTCTAAAGACGATTGCAGTTCGTGCTTGCCGTGACATGTCAGGACGAGTCCGAGGAAACGCTCAATCTGGAGGATTTCGAAGCTGTCTTCGGTGAACACGAAGTCGAGCTCAATGGAGAGATTGCCGGAGTGCTGCCCAGTGGTTTTGACAGTGGGAATATGGAATATTTGCATGGTTTCTTGAAGAGAAAAATTGGCGAAGAGACGAAGATTAGTGTAAGTACAAATGCTTAGTCTTGCATTGAGTCAACAATATTTTCATATACACTCCTGAAATAGCAATAGTGCGATTTAGTAACAAAAACATGCAGTGCGAGTTATCACTGGTAAACTTTTGAAGCGCAACTTATTCATTTTAGTACCGTCCTCATTTGGAGGAATTAGCCCGCGGATACCTCTCGTGCACGGAATCGAAGAGTCCCGAACTCTGTAAGGAAGGCCTTGAAGATGAAAATCTGTTGCAGTGGACCTGGTTCGGGTAAGTACCTCGTATCTGTTCATAAGGCTTCCAATGATCTAAATAGGCTAATTAAGCGATGCTGATTCGCCACAGAAATTCTTGGAAGAGCTTGCTCGGGATAAGGAAGAAGATGGTGGTTCAAATTTGAGCAAGGCAATTGAGTTAGTAAAAGTAAGCGGCAGAAATCATAGTTTTTCCCGCTCTCTCGTTTTGAGAAACTGTCTGTATCGTTCAAATGCACTACTCTTCACGGTGTAGTAGATGCGAAAAAGAGACTCATGAGCAACCTGCTGATGGTGTTGTTGCTGCTTTAAGGGATCATAAGGTTATACTTGAGAAACCTTTATATCCGCGTTTGAGGCGTAGTCCAGTGAAAATCACTCAAAATCACAGAAACAAGGCCAATTTTACGAAATTTGATTGCACAGCCTTACTTACACATCGCAAACGAACTAAGCGCTTCAGGTCTTCAGTGTCGAAACGAGCGCAGGCTTCCAGCCACAAACCCTCATCAAGTCAGAAAATTAATCTCATCATTTTATTACATCCATCCATCTTGCTATATTCTAAGGATCGAGCAGTGCTTTTTTGCTAGTATATGAAAACGGCTCTCGGTCATATCTAATTTTGGTTGTGGTCGCGAAGTAACGGGATATGACTTTGATTCTGACTAGAAATAATGAGCATAGTAAGCAACGTTTTCGACTTATTCGAAGCGCTCAGAGGATGTAGGAGAGAAGCAGGCAGAGCTTGCTGCTTGCTTCTCTCCTACATCCATTTGAGCGCTTCGAATAAGCCAGCATTGCTTTATCCGACATAAAGCAAGCTCTCTGAGTACTGATTGTTGGGAAGGGCTTCACATTGCTCAAAAGTACAAAAAGTACAAAATTCTTCCGCTTTTTTCTGTAGATAGAAGCAAATATTTGTCTCGGGTAAGCTGCAAACAGAGTTAACAAGTGCCCTTTAAAACTTATTCAAAAGAATTATTTTTCTTGCATATCAACCAGAAATCCTCGAAACCATACATCAAAGTTAGAGTTTTACCGGCCAAGCCACCACAACGCATCTCGGCACTCAAATCAGGGAGCATATCGATGGCCCCATACAAACTTCGGTCAAAGGTACTGATGTGCCTTGAACTCTATCGAAACCATGACACCTAATTACTTTTTGAATTGATTGAATGTGCTAGTTTCTTCTAAACACTTTCAGCCACCCAAAAAAGCCCTTAATCCGCGCAAAATCATCATGTTATAGATTATTTTTAGGAGGGCCATGTGCTGTTAGTTGGATGTGCGTATCTTCACGATACAAAGCTCCGCAGTACTGGAGGAGAAGAGAAAAAGCAAGAGGAGGGAGATGTACTACACGGGACCGGAGACCTTGCATGTTTTTTCAAATGAATTGCAAATCTGTTATTCTTTTTTCATTATTTTTTTGTCTTAGCATATAGTGAAATCGAGAAATAAAAATATTGCGCACTCATCGAAAAGGGGCAAGGAGTTATCCAAGCAAAGGTTATGGGTTACGGAAGTGCGTGTGCTGCGCTGATGAATGTTAATGATGTTGATATCTCAGACAATCAATGGGAACTTCCCGAGGTCCGTGAGGGAACTTTCCTCGGGTCACCTGCGGAAGTTCCCGTGAAGCGCTCGGGAAGTTTGCAAAAAAGTCCTCGGGAAATTCGCAAGAAGTGGGAAATCTCCCGAGAACTTATCTACAGAACTTCCTGAGGGCTTCACATTGGCTCCGCGTAGCTGTACCGAACCTTCATGATGAATCCTGCTACTTCATAAAGCCGCACCCTTAGTACAGCTACTCAAAGTAGTGTAGTAGTAAGGGTGGAGCACTAGTAGTAGTTATACGCAAAAACAGATATGCTCCATCATTTATTGTTATAGCAGTAGATATAACATATCGACGGAGGGAATGGGAGAATTTCTTCAAGTTCTTAAAAGATCGAATTACAGTAGCCCGGATAATGCGTAAGGAGTATCATATTGATAGTGAGATATGAAGTAAGCATGTAGTGAATATAGAGGTAAGCGGGGAGTAAGTAAATGAAGCACTGATTAATGAGAAACATGCTTAACTAATGAGGCAAAGGCACGATGTTACATGAGAAGACTTATGATGGATCAGAAATTAAACATCAGGTTCAAACAGGACAGCGACGGGATCAAATTCCACTACTGTGTAGCGCTTTCCTCTTCCATTCTGACTTCGTCATACTTGCCTTGTCCTCTCTACCAAATCCGACCTGCGTAGCCTTGTATTTCTGGAAAACAAATTTTTAGTATAAAAACAACTGAGACTAAGTTTGAACCTTTGAAGGCACAAGTTTTCCCTTGTCGAGGCGATAATAACGGACATCCTCGCTGTAAAACTGAATTTAGAAGCAGAAGACGATTCTGGAAAACTTACAGTGCTTCTGCGATACAGGTCCTGATTTGGCCGCAGTAGAAAGTTTTTTGCTCCAGCAGATAGTTGAACTTTTTCTCGCGTTCTTCATCGGATGTACCCAGAGAGATCCAGTAACTAAATCATTTGAGTAGGTAAAGACTGCTTACGAAACACCAACGCACCTAGTGCGCAAGCTTCTTATCGAATTCAATCTGTATCCCTCCAAATCCTCGTTGCCGAGGCTAAGCGCATCCAATACGAAATCTAAAGAATGATTTGAATGAGAATTTCTTACATGACTAGTTTCGTACCGTTGAGTGTGATAACTATGGACTCAGGCAGATCTTGTAAATCCGGCTTGCGCGATACATTAGATGTACGATGAGCAAAATTCCATATATCTGAGGGATCTGGTCCACAAACCTACAAATCTCGCTGTAGTCCACTCATATTTACTTAACTAGATTTTTTTATTATACTTACATGTTCATTGGTTATGAAAGTTATGAACATGAATGGCCAACCTGTCTGAAGATCACACGTAAAAAGTCATTGATGACGAGCGAAGTCTTGTGTTTGACTCTACTCGGAGCTGTGTAGCCGGCGAGAAGCTCGTTGAGGTTTAGTTCCTATGATAAGCATAATTGGCTTTAACTAGTGTCAAATAAAGCGCAATCACGCTCACCTGAAAGTCGACTTGTGCCCTCAAAGTAGAAGCCTTGAACTATTTGTTCGTCGCGACTATATTCGGCTGATGCCCTTGCTCTGAAAAAATTCACGTTAGAAAAGAGGAAAGAAGAGATCTAATATGCAAAGAATCGTAAGCGCAGTTTGAAAATCATCAAATCGCGAGAAACCGCGGTGCGGTCCCGAAGCGCACGCACATATAGCACCTTCACATAACTGCTTCACTAGTAGGAGGAGAAAAGATCGAAATTACAACCACTCAGCTAGGAACCAGAATCTAAATACTACCTAAGATAACACTCCAATTTGAATTGCTAAACTTTCACCATCTATAATAGATTGACAGACTAGCAGTATAGTGAAATAGCGCAAGTGCACTGCTACGAAATACAGAAAAGAAAGCAAGGAGAATCAGACGCTGAAAAAGACTTGCCTAAATTCATATTTTCCTTTTTATATATAAAACAGCACAAAGTCACATTTAGAAGAATTTCGAAACACGTAAAATTTATGAGTAAATGTAAAGTCAAAAGGAGTCATTTCCTTATTACATGGTGCATCATAACAGCCGCACTCGCAAAGAGCTGTACAATAGATGGTCGCACATATATTAAGGTAATTCAATAGCCGGATCATCTATTTGCTTGTTTTGGCTCTGGGTCATAGCTTCACACCTCGCACTGCGACAGAGGACGGTAATTATGATGTGCGAAGTAACAAGCAAGAGGTCACTTCACCCTTAACGACAAGTGATGCAAATACATTTGAATAATGCCACATGGAAAGAAGAGAATTCAGTCAATTTACAGAATAAAACGAGAGGACGATGGAAAAGAAACACTAGAAGTCCGCACTTGCGCTAAATCAGATATCGCACTGACCATTACATAAGTTTGATGAAGACTCTGTGACTTTTTACGACAATTCAGTCATTAGAATGAAAGTAGCGCTATTACGAAATACCGCGAAGCTCTCGGAAAATTCCCTTTTCTTAAAAGCTTTTGGAAAGTTTCGCATTTATAGATACTTCCCGAAGAAATCCTCGGGAAGTTCCTAACTGCGTTGCTCCTGACGTCAAAGTTTTCGGGAAACTCCCATTTTTGCGCTTCCATTCACCTCTGTGTTAAACGAGTTCTTCGGGAAGTTTGCCAAAATTGGCTTGTTTTCGGGAAGCTCCCGTGAATTGTCTGAGATTGTCGCCTCCCCGGTGTACGTTGGGCGGAGCATTTGCAGACATCTGAATACGTTGGTGGACTTATTGACCCTCTACTGCAAGGCATTGTTTGTTGCAATCTCTCGCTACCAGCTCTGCCATGTATGACAACAGCATATACACATGGCAGTCTAGAAAATACAAAGAACCATATCTACTTTGCAGCGGAGGTTTAACAAAATCAACACGTGTTCAAATGTCTGCAAATGCTCCGCCCAACGTACATCGAACAGATTACGATACATAGGGGCAACAGTCTGAACAATTATACCTAGAAGTCAAAGTGAGGTTAGGTTGTATTATAAGCTTGATCAGTTTTATGAAACGTTTGCAAATGCGTTAACAAGAGAGAAAAAACTTTTTGCGTTAGTGAGTCTGTTCGTGATGCGTGGCGCACATTTGATCATTTACTACTTACTACGGAATATCAGGGTATTTTGACAAGGCACCGTACAATTTAAGATTAAGCCGAATCCCCAGTCGCGGCGCAAAATGTCGCTTCGGAAGCGAGAAAATCGCTTCGGAATAGCGAAGATGCATGAGAGCCCCAAGTCGGCACCCCCCCCCCCCTCCAATGATGCCCGCCCGTCCGTGCGCGCCCATCCAATCACTGCTCCGGAAAACCGTCCTGCGGGTTCTCCGAAACGGGAATTGTCAGGGTCTTCGCGGATTCTCGACTTCATAATCGGAATCAGGGATATGAGAAGGCCCCCAGAGTGATCAAAATATGGAAGTGAGAACCTGGGTGGACGGTGCCTTCAAAGATTAGACCTCTTTGGTCAGTCAGCCTAAAACGCCGTCTTGAAAAGTGCTTGACCTAACTGCCTTTCGAAGGACCATAAGCTTCTTCAAGTGTGACGAATTGTGGGCGGTATGCCCGGATGTCGTGAAATTACAATGTCAGATTTGGTTTTTCCGATGTTATTAGGGTGCATCAGCACTAAAAACCGTGATAAAGTTGAATAGGTGAACAAGAAAGCTCTACAAAGAGAAAACATCAAGATTTTTTTTGGAAAAAGCGCGCAAGCGAAAAAGACAGATGATTTTGGTGCCAGAGCTAAGTCTAGCCGCGTATGCTTATGTAGGTAGAAGCGCCTGAAAGTACAGTCTGTCTCAGTCGGTTTTAACCGAAGCGCTGACTCAAGTTCGCGCACTAAGAACAAGGGTTTACGCTGCATATGCGCGCTATCGACAAAACAAGAAATCCGAACGCATAATGCAAGATCAATGCATGCGGATGTCCATCAATCCAGTTTTGGCCCTGATCTGGATTGGGACAGATTCACAAAGTCTACACGACGGGAGTAGAGATGTCATGCAGTACTAACTTGCAACATTTTTTCTGTGTAATAAACTGGACAGTGAGGAGTTCAGGAACTCTGTATGCAGTGTTTGGGCACAGCTCCTTTTTGATCATTGACTCTATATGCTGTTGGGGATGCTCAAAGGTAATGGCTATGCAAAAGCGGATCAATTTTACAAAGCAATATGCCAGAAGCCTTCCCCCTCCCCCCTTCCATCCAACATTCCTCCACCTCTCCCCCTCCCTCTATCAAACCATTGGAGCGCAGATCATGTCAGACCTAGAAAAAAGGGAAATTCGCGAAAGAGCGCCTTCCTCCCCTCCGCGCGCTTGCCCGCCTGTCACGACGAGACACTAACAAGAGAACAATATTTAGTGACCGTTGCCTTTTGAGATGAAATGTATACCATTATTTTCGCCTTCGAACGCTGATTCCGAATCTGACTTCCGTTTCTGTCAATCCTTTCTCTGAAAGAAGTTATAAAAGATTTTCGCTTTAAGTTTGGCGGCGCGAGGCAAATACGATAGGAACCAATATGGCAACATGTTAATATGTATTAGGTTGTAAAGAAAGTTTCCGGGCAATTGCGATAATTTAACTTCAAATCGCTGTAACTTCAAGCAGATTGATTCTTTTTTGAAGCTACAAAATTCATCGCAAAGACAGTTTTGTCCACAACATATATTTGTCTTGCTGGCTTTTCAGCACCTCACTGCGGTTCACCAGCATGCGCAGAATGGAAGAAGGTCGTCGCGAAAAGTAACCTATTTGCGCAGGATCATCTCAGGCAGAATGAGAGCTGGAAAGCCCAAATGCTGTAGTTATATAGAGGTCTGCTGGAGCTGTCATGGGGACCTATTTTTGCAGGACCAACTGCAAAAATTTTTCCTCCAGAAATTTCGAAAATCGACCATATTTTGTAAAATTGGAAAAATTGCAAAATTTATATGGTTGAAAAGATTTTACTTTTTGATGTGCGGCTCGGCATCGATAAAAATTAGAAGGCGTATCGAAAACTTTATGCTTCTCTCTAATAAACAGTGTAAAAAACTTGGTGTCAAAGTCCGACCGAGAGCCGAAAAAATCCGCATGAAAATGAAATTTCCAAAAGTGCCCAGGAACTTTCTTTACAACCTAATACTATTTTCCGTTCATTTTTTTATAGGCTTTTGGAATAAATGTAGGGAACACTCATATAAAAATGACTCTTCGTTAAATTATCAAAAAGTTAGGACATGCATTTACCTCAAAAAGAAGCTCAATTGAGGCAGTGAAAAACTGGAAAATACAAAAGGATCTGAACCTACCACAGCTACAGCGGAATTGTTGTTTCATCATATCTCGGGTGCCTAACTGACACGGAAATTCTTCATAACTTCTTTCAGAGAAACCATTAGCAGAAATGGAACTGAGATTCGGAACCAGCGTTCGAAGACAAGTGTAAAGATTACATTTCATTTCAAAATTCACGGGCACTAAGTATCGTTTTCTTGTAAGTCGCGTGTCGTACTTACCAAGCAGCAAGAAAGAGGCATCTCCTTATTCTTCACACAGTTTTTTTCTAATATGATACTTTCTTGTTTCAAACAATCTCGTCCGGGCTCTCACGTGTTTTATTAGGGTTTCCCACATACAGTTGCCTAATGGGGTTGCGAAAATGAACTCTCTAATCATTTGAAAAGCTGCGAAATCGCTTTGGAGTATAGCTCAACAGCAAAGCACATTTTTTAACTCTTGTTTCCCCGATTACTCGGGGTTTGCTACCATTGTAAGTCTCTTCCACGGTTCGTGGTTCAGAGAGCTTGTTCTTCTTCGATCTTTAGCTCTTTCAGATCCGATTGGATCTTATCCCACCATCTTAGCTGTAGCCTTCCTTTTGGCATTTTTCCTGGCATATATATATATACACCAAAAAATAACTTGAAAATCTTGTAAAATCACTCCTACAACCTCTAGACAGTATACTTTGGCCAGAGAATCGCTAAAATATGGTGTGATTTCAACCTGTCCCGAATCAATTGAGAAGTTAGTGGTGTTACTTAGAAATCCAGTGTCTAAATTTTCTAATCAAGAAAGCAAAGCGGTCGCACAGCTGTACGCTGCGAGAGTCTGCTCCAGAGTCAACATGGTGCGCGCATGCGCTGCCCTACTTTGGACGAGTTGTCCGCTGGAATTTCTCTGAGTAGCAGCTTATGCTTGATGTGGATTCTTTTTGCTGTCGATTCTAAAGAAATACTTATTTAGCCACAATTGTTATGCTGGTCTGCTTCTACTATTTTAGTGGGAATTTCCTTTCCTCAAACATATCT